CTGTACATACTGTATGTGGAGCTGAATATTAACTTATTTATAAACCACAAGGCTTTGCATAATTTGAGCATCAGGAGCTTGTGAATCTAACCTTGGTATGTGCAGCTGGAGAATCTATAGCCTATCATAGCATAAATATTCAATACGCTGCTAGCTGTGAGCGCTAACAGGAGTCGAGATTGAAGTTGCAACAGTTGAATCAGCCACGTGCCTACAGGCCTGTAAAAAAAAAGCTGAGATGTGAACAAAAACACGCTAGGGGGTTGTTTGCGCTCCCTCCCACGCATACGCACGCACACGCAAAAGAGGCGCCAATTAGCTCACACAATCACCAGGAACACAAGGCTAGCTAACTCAAAGACTGCCCTGTCCACTTGTTTATGCATCAGTGACCAAAGACCAACCACCAATTTCCAAAAGAGAAGGTAATAAATGACTTCTCTGCTTCTGCCCGTCCTCCAGTTCCAGACGATTTGTACTTTCCCCAATGCAATTAATTCAGTCTTACAGCTGGAGGTTGTAATCATTATCTTCTGAGTCATTGGCTGGTAGCAATATCGTTTGTGACATAACACAGCCAGTCCCAGATCACAAAGAAGAGGCAAAATGCTTATTTGGTCCTTTATCTTTAAAGATGGGATTATGAATTATTAATACACCTCAAGGTAATGCAAGCAAAATTACAATTAAGAGCTAGTTTACTTCTAAAGTTGAATGAATTAGATGTGGGATTAAAAATCTAAAAAGTAGCATTGCACCCTGACTGAGTGGGGTTGCCTCTTCACAGATCCGACCTGTAATTTGGCCCTCTGGTGGCTCATATCACTATGCAAGTGAGTTAAGGAAGAAAACTGTGGGAGAAAATTGCTCTATAATTCCTAACTATGCTAATCACCATAAAAGAAGTAGAGAAACCACTTATGATTTCACAAAGTTTTAGACCTCAGAAGAGCAAAAGTATAAATTTAGAATATTGTATTGTTGCCTGCCTAGTAGAGTGAAATTATGCAAATTTCAGCCCTGGAAAAGTTTAAAGCTGAGTACTTCCTGTTTTACCACATGATATCACAAGTTGAAGTGTTTTCAGTTTGAGAGAAGAATTCAGACAAAATATCCAGAGACAGAAAATAGTGTAATATGTGCCCTTTAAGATTATTTGAATATTTGACTGCAGTGTAATGTCTAAATTGAACTAAAGTGATACTGACTTGCCAAAATGACCATGTCCATTCCCCAGAAGATGCTCATGATCCATCCGACCATGATGACAGCGGTGAGGATCTGGATGAGCGCCGCGGCAACGTTCAGCCAGAACACGCAGCACTTCCCCCGCTCCGAGATGAGATCACTGCGTGCTCCACACAGCACCGTGAACGCAGAGATGAAGGTACCTGCCACACAGACACATCACAAGTAGGTCATCAGGAAGTCATATTTGAAGGGGGCTTTGGAGATCCCCCCAGGCTTTGAGTGGGCTACTGCTTGAGCCAATTTGAATTAAATTTTACTCACAAATGTCTCAGCTTTGTACTTGGCTTTACTCACTGTTTTTGTATCTAGATCCTAATCATGTGTGAAAACCCGTTAGTGCTGGTTTGTAGTCATTTTAATTTTAAATTGGAAAATTTTAATAGCATACTGGAAATTATGTCATCAAGTGTTCCTAATTACCTGGTTTGACTACAAGTTTGTTTTTCTAAACACTCTGGATGTTCTTGAAAACTAAGGGCATGTCTAGACTTTTTTCACTGAGGTGGTCCAAAGGGTGACACCAAAGAAAATTTAACACTTACATACATAGTTTTTGAGAATAATTCATTTTCACTAATAAGACTTATAGATATTTGTGCACATTTTCTCCTTTTTGTAATAATTGGGTACACTATTGTAAGTAAAACTGAATATTTATTTACCTCCAATATACTACCACTCTAGATGGAGTTAGAAATGGGCTGGTCTGTCAGATTTCAGTGGCCTGTTACTGCGTGACAACTCACTAGAAATGCTTTAGTGAAAACTAAGATATCTCTGGCATCTTTTTAGCTATATCCAGATAAACATCTAAAGTACTAGAATTTTACTTTACTTTCCTTCAAGTCAGATACAAAGAGCATAGTCATGCGGTTTTCTCAATAATTTTGTATGGTATTCTAAACAATGTATATATATAGAGAGAAAATTTATATATAGAACTCCTTGCCATTGTAATCTCTGCACCATATGTTCTTTATGGTATCCGTCTCATCCATTCATAACAAAAGGTCGTGGACCATTCGTTGTATTAAAAAGAAGAAGAAGTTTTACAAAGGATTACATCTCCGAGTCTCTTTGTATTAGTGAGTCAGCGCTTAAGTGATGGCATTTTCTGAGTGCGTGGCTTATACTGCCACAGAGTCAAGGCAAAACACTTAGAAAAATACACTCAGCTGCAAATTGAATTATCACTTTGAAGAGCCATGTCTCTATCCAATCTCTTTATCCCGGATCTCCATGAAAGCATTGTTGTAAGTGCGCCATGTGTCAGCCAACATAATATATCATGTTTATCTCATTACATGTTTCTATGACAACATGTCCTAAGGAAGGGCCACTGCTGCTGTGTTCATGCGATCCACTCAAACTTGGAAAAACACACTGCAGATGTTGAAAAAACTTAAGTTTTTTTCTTTGTAAACATAGTGATCTAATGACTCCATGGAGAATGTACTGTACCTAAGCATGCATCCAGTGTTTGACTTATGTAACATGGTAGACATGGCAACTGAGCATTTAAAATATGACAGTGTAACACACAAATACAGTGATTGTATACATAAGGATTACCAACATACTGACAAAACCAGCAGGTCAGTGGGCAATAGCAGCCTCCTTAATGTCATAAACCACGCCCACTCAGCCACAAGCCACACCCGCAATCATGTAAATGTATGTGTTTTTCTGTCAGTTCCACCTGGTTCCAGTACTCAAGACACAGGTTACACTGAGGTTTGTTTTAGACTGGAGGGTGACTTACTGCCACCACTTAAACCACCTCCTCTTCTTTTTCTTGTCTATGTCAGCTTGCAGCTCCTCCACTATTACTTTGATCTGCTGCAGCTGATCATCTAACTTGTTCAGGGACATCTGCAGCTCTTCACATCTGAGAAGGGCAGAGGCTTTCTCCTCCTCACTGTGTTTCAAAGCCGTGTTCAGCTCCTTGATAGTTTTCTGGTTGAGTATGTTCTTCTCCACCGTGGCCTTGCAGATGGAGGGACATTTTTCTACCACAGCTATAAAACAAATTTTCTGTGAGTCCAAGTCATTTTGTAATATTTGAACTTTGTTGTGCTCAGTTTTCAGGCTCGCCTCCCACTCTTGTGCCTTGTTGAGGGCCTCTTCAGCTGTCCGCTCCTGCTCAGCGAGAGCAGACTCTAGAGTGAGGACCTGTTTGTTCCAGGTCTCCTCAGCTGTCCGCATCTCTGCTGCTAATGTAGACTCCAGGGCGAGACGCTGTTTGTTGAGGGCCCCTTTAGCAGAGTGTCTCTCTGCTACAAGGGTAGACTTAAGATGGAAAACTTGTGCTTTGAGGGCCTCTTCAGCTGACTGTGTCTGCTCAACGAGGGAGACTCCAAGGCAGTGACCTTCCTCTGTAGAACCTGCTTCTCCTTGTGTGCCTTCTGGAGTTCCTGTCGGGTGCTGACCAGAAGCTTCTCTTTGGTCTCCCCCTTCTCAATGGCCTCTTCCAGAGTAGTCTTCAGCACCCTGTTCTCTTCTTTACACTGTTGTAGTCTCTCTATCATTGTTTCCTTTTCCTGTCTAGCTTCACTCAGCTGTTTCTGGAGCTCCTCAAAATTCTTCTTGAGGGCTTCTTTCTCCTGAACCATCAGCTCTAACTCCCTCAGTCTCCATGTCTGTTTAAGGCTGACATGGAGTTGTTCTTTGTGGGTTCTTTGGAGCTCCTCAAGAGTAGTCTTCAGTGCCCTGTTCTCTTCTTCACACTGTTCTAGTTTCTGCGTATTCTTCATACTGGTCACCTTCAAGTTCTTTATGTTGTTATGAGCATACTTTAGCTCCTCAGACATATCAGAGACGTAGTAGTGGCTGTTTGCCTTCTGCATTTTCAGTTGTTCCTCGAGCTGCTTCACCTGCTCTTGGTTCCTGAGGGCGAGACTCTGCTGCTCTTGGGAGAACCTCTTAAGATTCTCGTTCTCCTCATAGACGCTCTGCACATACTCGTTTACCATCTGTCTACCCTGCTCTAACATTTGTTCTCTCTCCTTGTCTTTCTGTTTCAGGAGATTTTTCCCAAATTCTATCATTGTTTCCTCTTCCTCTCTAGCTTCACTCAGCTGTTTCTGGAGCTCCTCACAATTCTCCTTGGGGGCTTCTTTCTGCTGTAACACCTGCTCTAACTCTCTCAATCTCCGTGTCTGTTTAACATTGACATGGAGTTGTTCTCAGATTAAAGGCTAACGTGAGTAATAACATAGAGATAGAAATAGAGATAGAAACTGTAATTTTTAACAATAATGTCAACGTATTTAATCTCTACTTTAATTTGAAATTGAAAACCACGTATGAAAGTGCAACTTGAGAGTTGCTTGAAAGAGCAGAGTTTACAGTTTGCATCACACCCCCAAGCATGAACTAAAAAACAAATTTAAAGTTGTAAAGTTAAAGTCTTGGTCATGCTCTATTCTACTCTGTCGTGTCTGTTTTTATGACATGTTCACTTGTTTCCAGTGAATTCCTGAAAACACAGTTAGAAGCTGAGTTGGAAGTGTTTGGAGTTAGCTCACTGTTGGCAGAAGCTTTCAAAGGCTTTAGAATGTATCAGATCTGACCCTAAGTGTTTCAGCAATCCACATTCACAAGACAATGAGACAATTACTAGATTTTAAACTGCAAAACATTCATATGATAATTGAATAAATGCACGTGTTAAATTGCTTAGAGCTTCCGTGTTATTACACAATGTTCATTCCAAATTCCACTATAATGCATTCATCTTATGGCTCTTTAGACAGTCAAATACTTATGTAACGGAAGGAGTCTGTAGCCACAGTTGCCCTGGCTAGAAGTTCATATTTAGCTTACCTAGTTCAGTCCTAGTTTTGATGTGTGTCTGTGAACGCACATGTCTACTGAGTGCATGCCCTCCCTGTTTAAGTAACTGTTGAAGAGAATGTATTGATAAATGCTTATATAATTGGTCTATTATAGGATTTCACCATAGAGAAAATGGTGAGGTTGATGATATAACTTGCATTGCCTTGTATAATTATAACAAAACTGTAAAACTCTTATTATAAAAGACTGAAAACCCGAGAGCGCCCTGAATGAAGCAATACTAGACTTAACTGCTTTAGCATAACAACCTGTCACAGCGACTTCAGAATGACCTTATCATCAATCGTTTTAAACCCAAACATCTGTTGAAAACATAACTCCAGCAGATAGCCGAAGTAATACAGTGAAATAAATGAATGGACTTGAGTGAGTAGTATCCCACGCAGCTTTTGATGATTTCCTAATATGTATTTATTCAGTCCAAAATAGCTCATTTCAGTGCTAAATTATTCTCACAATCAGTTAACTTTCTTCACCATTTTTGCTATTTCACAACAGTTTGAAGATAGGGAAGTAGACAGAAACCTAATGTGACACTAGAAATACCCAGTGGGCGTAGTGTGCATCACAGCCTTGGCCTCTTCTCTCTGCTGGTTTTATTTTGGGTCAAACTGAAGAGATGCACAGACAGAGCAGAGAAGGGAGCAGGTGGGGGAGGGCTCAGGAAGAATTGGCCTGTTTGTCAGCAATAAACAGTTTAAAGTGAAGAGAGGAGAGTATGTTTACTGAGTTTGGTTTTCTTTTCCTCACAATTTTGTACCATTTGGGATAAGCTATTTTGGGTAGAGGAGCCAAAGAACTATACTCAAGTAAAAAGTTGTTCCTAACCTTATTTGCAAAACTTTTGAATACCCCCTGTACCTCTGATTGCTGGTATATTGAATAATTATAACTAAATTATAACTGTCTAAAATTATCCTATAGAAACATTATTAAGGATGTCAAATATAATACAAACTAATATTGTCAGTTCAACTTTTTATAGGTGACATTTTGAGGACTTTTCACCATTCAAAAGACAGGAAATCTTGAATTAAATTGTTAATTGCTATGGTAACAGTTTGTCATCATTCTAATACTTATGGATATGCAATTCCACTTTTCTTTTAAATCTTAAATCTTAAGTAAATGTAACTATGCAGCACCAATACTTCTTCATTGCTGTGTGTGTATTTTTTCCAACAAGACTAATTGTGGGATTTCTGCCAACACAGAAGTCTCTTTCAGATATGCCCAGACTGAAACACAGTGTTTACTTTCTCATGATCTGCTCTGGCCTTAT